ATCAGCAAAAATGCTCCCACCAAGCCGACCTGCGTCTTCGGCTTTCAAAAGGAAAAACCGAAGAAATCATGCACTGGAGGAAGTGCGAGCGCTGAGCATTGACAAGTACCACTGTTGTCAGCCAGGTAAGAAGAGCTAGGATGAAGTGCGAGGGGGTGAGCACTGACAAGTACACTGTTATCAGCCAGGTAAGAAGAGCTAGGGTCACCCTCCCCTCCATCGAATATTCCCCATAGTGCTCCCTCATATCAGAGATTGATTAGCTCACAGCAGATTTCACTACAACGAAAATTCCTGCTGGGCAGTTTTCTCAGGGGGTGATGACGGAGGCATTATCCAATTTCGCTGCTTCACAATGTCGTGACGAGCCATCAAGGAGAAATCCTTGAAATCTTGGGATGAAGTGATGCCGCTTGAATTTGTAGAGACCACTTGTCAAATCTCATAAAGATAGACCTGTAATACCATGAACACGACAGTGAGAAGTACTGTGGAAAGCGCGAAATGCCCCCTCCCCTCCACACTCCCCGCGCTCTCAATTGTCATTTGGCTGACCCTATAAGACATCGGGAATCCAAATACGCATTCGAATGCATCGATTGCGAGCAGAACTCTAGTGCATGGCGCATCCTATGAGCGTTTCAATTAGCTTTTAAGTTTTCACCTTCTTATATTTGTAAGATTTTCTCTAACTAACAAATAAAAGTATTATGTAGTTGCAATGCCAATAGTATATAAAGAGCCTCGACGAATCCTACGACGCCGCTTGGAAGCATTTTATACAATTTATACTTAACGACTTCCACTAGAGAAGCGAGTAATACGCGACAATGAGAAATCGATGAAAAGTTCTGAGAAGCTAGCAAGTTATGAAAATAGCGGCCGAGCGACGAGGCGGGTCCCAGAAGTACTCCCTAAGGACCATCGAGCCACACCACCGCTGCCAATCTCGACGCCAACACTCCACCAACCGCAAAACACCGCACGATTTGTGATGGCCGTCGGCTGGCCACCCAGAGTGTTTCCGTTGAGACAACGTCACTATTCAGCCCGAACTGAATTAATGAGGGATTAAGAAGGGAAAATCTGAAATGAGGTTTTTACAATCGTCAGAGCATTGACATCATCGGGCATATAAGCCCAGAACGTGAAAACTGAATATGTTTGGGGGGGGGGGGGGGGTGAGCCCCTCTACAAAAAGGGAACGCTCCTGCCTAAGCAGGCGATATAGGTCTCTCACCGCTAGCAGCGCTCATGGGAGACCTAAAGGCACATTTCGCGATGGCCAGCCAAAATTCAGTAGGTGGCGAGGTCAGAAATCGGAGTCCTGTTGACTTAATCGTGAAGAAAAAGGAACAGCCGACGGTCGGAAACTCCGCATAAGGCTCTACGTGTGCCACGCGAGAGACAG